TAGTAACCCACACAGACTTGTTTTTGTTCACTCTTTCTTAACTTTCTCTTGACTATTCATATCCTCCATCCCAGTGAAGTAGAATTAGTTAAGACCTCTGTGCCTCGAACCTGCTTAACTTCCCCTTTTCATGAGTTTTTTCTTTTACCTTTTTGAGCAGCTTCAGCATTTTACAGAAACTATTCTTTACACATTGTCTAACTGGCCTCTGGTTTATGCTCCATTTCAATTATAAATATAACATGTATCACATTGAACTGAAATCACAGACTTTATTTCTTTAGAAAGATATCTAGGTGTAATATAGATAGTGGAGGGTTTAAGACAGTTGCATTCCACATGGCCAAACCCCACTTCTATTTCCAATACTGTTCCCCGAGCATAACAAGGAGTAATACCAGAATACAGAGCCAGAAGTAGTCTCTAAGCACTGCAGTCTGTGGCTTCAAAATAAGAGAGAGTGAGAGAGAGAAATAATTAAGGAGAAAAGAGAGATCTGATTATATAGTCCTTTCTTTTTGCATGGAAGTGTTCAGTTAGGTCTAGATGTGAGTACAAACTTGAATCCAGCAGAGGCTTTACAATCAGTGAATGGGTCAAGCCAAACTTGTCCCAAAGGGAATATAAGTGAATGTGTATGTGTGTCTAGACAATCTACCTTATCTGAATTACATCATCTTACAAATAATTATAATGTTGTGAGTATACAAAAGAAGTATTAGAAAAAGCTCTCAACCTGGCTTTTAGCTTTAGAAGAGATGCTACTACAATTGAGAGTGAATGAGGAAAACTGGTTGGGATTTAAATTATGAGTATTAGGTGGGAGGCATCTAGAACTTACAGAAGGCAAAGTAAGTGCTGGACCTGGTTCTGACTGTTTTACACTGGTAAGTCACTTCAAACTTATGCTGCAGAGACAGAATCTGGATATAAGGACTGTGTATAGAGACATGGCAGAGTGGGGAGAGGGGCCTAAATCCCACTCCCATGTAGTGGCCTGGGAATGAAGCAGCCCCAACTGCAACCCACAAATATGCCACTAGAATATAAAACTAATAGGCATTGATCTAGATGATGCAGTTTTTTCCAAATTTACAAAAATGCACAGAATAAGTCATTGGCATCTTTAGAAGTAGGCTATTTTTATTCTCTGCTTATAAAAGAGTAAAATGAAGCACAAAGACAAGGAAGAATATACCTATGCACAGCAGGTAGGTGATAGTGATGTAATTCAATCTTAAGATTCACACATATTATCGTGGTGGCAGGCTACATCCAGCTATGTGTTTGTAGTGCTTTATCCATACTAGCTCATAAGTGCTGAATTTTACATGGTTAACTCACTTAATCCTCACAATAACCCTTGAGGAACCCATAGCACACAGAGCAATGCCTCAGCCTCTTATCCTAAGAGATGGTGCTTTGTAAGACTGTGCCCTGGTGAGAACAGAGTCAAAGAGACACTTCAGTGATCAGAACTAATTGGCTAATTGATATGCTTCAGACATCTTGCCAAGCAAAAGAGAGTTTAATTAAAACAAAATATTATCTGTAGCACTGGGAGTTAAACTAGTGGGACCTAAGGAAAGTAAGTCAGAACTGAAATTAATAAATATCTAGAAGTCTGCAACAATATATCTTAGGGTATTATTATCAAAGGGAGGTTTATTTGATAAAGAAGAAAAAATTTGCAGATGTAAGTAGGCATATGATATAGGCAGCATCTCACTTTTAAAGATACTGTTATTCTCACTATTGAGAATGACTTACTCAATAGTGTTGAAACAACTGGTTTGGCATTTAAAAAATTAAAGTTTTTCTCTTGTTATTGTGAAAAGATATAACCAAACTATTATGCATTATATTGCAATTTTAATAAGAGAAATTAAAAACAAGTTAAATGAGAAAATAAGCTGATAATTTCTCAGAATTAACAGTTATACTTAAAATACTTTTAATTTTAAATAAAATCATATATATAGTCTTCCTATATAAGTATAATTAAAAAAATTGTATATATTTCAGATGTGCAATATAATGAATTGCTATCTGTTTAAATTGAAAACCATTTTCTTTGAAAGAAAAAATATAACCAATATAAAAAAAGCTCTAAATAAATATGCTCTCTTTTTATTATTTATCAATAAAACAGATCTCTAGAGGAATACATAAGACAATGATTTATTTGATTTTTTTTCTGGGAAAAGTAATGATGCAGAGGAACGTAGGTAAGACTTTATACTGCTTACCTAATTTGGGCTGTATGTTACATATTCAAACAAAACAAGACCTCGTTTTGACAATAAAACCTTGTTGTAGGGTGACATTAGACCACTTATTAAATTTTCAGAGACTAGTTTTCTTAACTATAAAATAATGAGAGAACTCAATGGGAGAAGCACATGCTTTTTATGTCAGAGGCCCTGATTTCAGTTCCCTGGTATCACATGGTCCTCTGAGAACCACCAAGAGCAACCCGAGAGCACAAAGTCAGGAGTAGCTCTGTAGGATGACATTGCTTTGTCTTTCCTCCATAAGGAGCTTAGGTTTATCTGGTTATACCCATTACAGTGCTCCTGAGGCATTTCCATTCCATTGTGTTTATCTGTAAATTCTTCCCTATGCTCTCTTCCACAAACAGTTAATCAGTTTTCCCCTAATCAGACTCTGTTTGTAAGGTTAGATTCCTCAGAAATCTATGACTTTATATGTATGAGTGAAATATTGCCTTTCTCCTCTCCTTATACCTTATGAACAGTTTACTTTAAAGCAATGTCCTTTTTGTATGGATACAGGAAGACTGTTAACATTATGCTTTGTAACTTAGGATTTAATTGGCTTTGAATATTATTCACTCCCGGGCATCTACTTTCTCGACTTAAGCCTCAGTTGCCCTTAGTTCCTAACACCCCAAAAGCAGGGTCCTGACGAGGGACTGAATGGACCCAGGGCAGGCAAGCGGTGAGCTACCCTGGCATCGAAATGGGCCAGGCCAAAGTGCCACGATTCTTAACTATAAGTTAAGAGTTTGATCATAGACAAATGCTGTCATGATCCAAAAGTAACGACAAGACTAGGACCCTGCTAGGGGTGGGAAAGACTATCTGGCCTGAGCACTGTAGTCTGAGATCGAGATGGCCCTAGGAGGGCAATTCTATAAGTTTAAGATAGTTCTTACTGTATACATACAAAATAATTTATATTATATATGCTTATATGCTTGTCAGATAAGGAGAGGAGAAACACACCCATGGGATTCCGCTCTAGGGTGGGTCGTCCTGCTGAGAGAGGATCTGTCCTAGGAGCGGCTTTCCCTGAGGGAAAGAATTCTACCCCTATTGATTGTGACCACACCTATGTGTAATTGTTACCCCAATCCCTCATCCAGAGAGATATAATGGGACCGTAGAATGGGCAAGGCAGAGGCAGTCAGAGAAGAGAGACTGGTATGGATGGAGAGAGGATTGGAATAAACTGTGATTAAGACCAACCAGCCTGGCCCTCGTTCCTTCCCTTGCCTGCCCATCAGCATCGACCTCCCTGGGGTGGGGGAAGCGGGGTGAGACTACCTGACATAGGCAGCAGGAGAGATAGAGCCACCGCTGCTGTGCTGTGCCCCTTTTTTGAGTTTACACATAGCTCCTGAGCACCATTGGTTGTCGACCCAAAATGAAAAATAAATGATTATAATCCCTATCTCACTGGCTTTTATAAAATTCAATAAAGTCCCTACTACAACGCATAACTTGGCAGATGAGCACCAGAGTTCTTCTCCATAACTTTCTTTTCTCAAAGGGTACAAACTCCAATAACTATGGTTCAGATGGAAAATATAATTTATGAATTAGATTCAATTAAAGACATTAAGGAGTGTTTCAGACTGAGTGCTTTAAATTGTTATATGTTCGTATGTGAAGTCTAAATTACACACACATATATATGTTTTAATACTATACTAGAGTATAATGCTGGTTGATCTTTTGTCATACTTTTTTTACATAGTATTTGCATTTCATAAAATTATGCCATGTACAATACCTGTTTCAAACAAGTGAATAAGCATTGCTGACCATTGGAATAAAAATAATTATTTTCAAATAGGTCTAGAATAACTTACTTGAAGTTGAATTGTTTAATATTACTGGGTTTGATTTTTCACAGAAAAATAAAGTGTCTGTGAAAATATATGTTAGTGATGGTAAGGCCAAAACAGGAAGGTTAAAAGTGAAGAATGCATGAAACATTTTGGGTCTTTCTTTCTGTGACAGATTTGATGAAGACAGCACCGCTATTTGCAGCTAATAAATCTGATTGAGATGAAGTCAGGAAGAGAGTGTCATAGTGAAGCCAAGTCAGAAGGTTAATAATGACGAAAAAAAAAAAGTCACACATAGTTGGGCAGGAGAATGGTCAAAAACTCTAAGAAAAGAATGTCAGGGAATGGCTTCAGATTTAGTATAGTGTTGAATTTATCTTTCTTGTCTAAACAGATGTCCTATTATGTGTAATTCAGGTTAAATAATAAACTAATTACTACTAATTCTCAATTCTCTACGGAATTTCAGGTTTGTAGCAGACCGGGATAGATTTGACTCATAATATAGATTCATTGTATTATAAACACTTATGCCCACTGAAGATTAAGCACAACTTCTGTTAATTTCTGTATAAAGTTACAGAGAGACATAAAGAGTAAAGTAACTGATCAATATTTTTGAAACACCCTTTAAATAGAACCATTGAAGTTAAGGATCAAATAGAGAATGAAGTGTTACATTATTATTTTTTATTATTCTGTGAAACACCTTCCTAAATGCTAGACAGCAGAATCCACAAATGAGACCAACTCCATGATGCAATTCTTTTCTTTAATCAAGAAATGAGAAAGTGGTGCTACATAAATACACATCCCAACTGAAAAATCACCCTATAGACCATATCAATGAGGAAGGTATTTATTTCTTTGCTTTAACATCATTCCTGGTAAGAAAGCCTTCACAGCGCTTGTTTTGGCAGCACTTAAACAAAAACTAGAATAAATCAGAGAAGATTACCCCTTGCACAAATATGACATGCAACTTAATGAAGTACCCCATTTTTATGCTGGCACTGGTACTGAGTGTGGAGTTGGAACATTGTAAGCTTGAAAATTTTATTATTAACAGGATTCTAAATCAAACGTGTCTAAATTAAAACATATTGTAAGTCATCATGACTAAAAAAAAAATTTGGAAGAAAAAAATAGTACTGTAGCACTGTCCACTGTCGCACTGTCCTGTTGCTCATCGATTTGCTCGAGCGGGCCCCAGTAACATCTCCATTGTGAGACTTGCTGTTATTGTTGTTGGCATATCGAGTACACCACGGGTATTTTGCCAGGCTCTGCCTTGCGAGCAGGATACTCTCTATAGCTTGCCAAGCTCTCCAAGAGGGGCAGAGGAATCAAACCCGGGGAGGCAAATGCCCTACCTGCTGTGCTATTATTCTAACAGAAGAAAAAAAAAATAAAAAAATTTTGATCATTCTGATCATTCCACATACGAAGGTTCTCACACCTTCTTAATAAGACTTTTTGAATTTAATGACTCCAGTTGAAAATATAATTTACTTTGCCTCTTCTAATTATTTTTGGGGGTGTTAAGGGAATTTATACTCAGTGGTGCTTCGGAGACTATGTGGTGATGAAACCCAAGGCTCCTACCAGCAAAACACGCACTCCAGCTCTCTGCACTATTTCCCTAGCTCCTCTATTTTCTTTGTCTTTTTGTGGTGGGGGTTGGTGGTGAGGACAGGATCAAACCTAGGGTCTCGCCACTAGTAGAACTGAACAAGAAAAAAACCTCCAACCCTATTTAAAAAATGGGGGAAAGAAATGAACAGAAGCTTCCTCAAAAAAGAAATACAAATGACCAAAAGGCACATGAAAAAATGCTCTACAATGCTAATCATAAGGGAGATGCAAATGAAAACAACAGTGGGATATCAACTCACACCACAGAGACTAGCACACATCAAAAAGAATGAGAACAACCAGTGCTAGTGAGGATGTGGGGAGAAAGAAACTCTCTTTCATTGTTGGTGGGAATGTCAACTGGTCCACCTGTAGAATAACATTTGTTTGTCCTTTCTCCCTGGCTGCAGGGTGCTTAGGATTATTGAGTTACATCCATCACGGTGCTCCTGAGGCACTCCCACTCCTCTGTATTTATCTTTAACATCTTTTCTGTTGCTCTGCTTCCCCAACCAGTCAATCATCTTTGTCCCCAAATCAGACTCTGTTGACTTGTAAGGTTAGATCCTAAGGACTATGGGTTTGTATTTGTAAGTGAAATAATGCTTTTCTCTTTTCCTTATGTCCTTTGCATAGTTACTTTAGAGCAATGTCCTTTTTGTATAGACACAGAAAGACAGTTAATGCTGTTTTTTAACTTGGGAGTTAATTGACTCAGAATAATTACTCCTGGACATCTGTTTACTCGACTTAAGCCTCAGTTGTCCTTAGTTCCTAGCACTCCAAAAGCAGGGTCCTGATGAGGGACTGGACAGTCCCAGGGAAAGCTGTGAGCTACCCTGCCATCGAAATTGGCCAGGCCAAAGTGCCGTAATACTTAACTATAAGTTTTGAGTAAGGTCATGGACAAATTCTGTCATAATCCAAAGAATATCAACTGGACAAGGACCCTGCTTAGAGTTAGAAAGGGCTTATCTAGTCTAAGACCTGTAGTCTGAGACATATAGTGAGATGTCCCCAGGAGAGCCGCCCTATAAGCTTAATGTATCACTTATTGTGTCCATTGTCACTGTCACTGTCCTCCCATTGTTCATCAAATTGCTCGAGCGGGCCTAGTAACATCTCCATTGGAGACTTTGTTGTTACTGTATTTGGCATATCGAATACATCACGGGTAGCTTGGCAGGCTTTGCCATGCGGACGGGATGCTCTCGGCAGCTTGCCAGGCTCTCCGAGAGGGGCGGAGGAATCAAACTCGGGTCGGCCATGTTGGCTGCGTACAAGGCAAACGCCCTACCGCTGTGCTATCGCTCCAGCCCATTGTTTCCATAAAAAATGAATAATATTATTAAGTAGAACTAAGATGAATGTTTAAATGGTTGCTGGACAAAGGAAAGGAGGAATGTACCCCTAGATGGTATTTCGCCCTTAGACAGGTCATCTTGCTGGATGAGTATTTGTCCTAGAAGAAGCTTCCCCTGGGGGAAGGACTTTACATCCGTTGATTGCACGACAGCACCTATGTGTAACCGCTACTCCAATTCCTCATGATTTGGGATATAACTAAGGCTGTAAGAGTGGGCAGGAGGGGGAGAATTGAGGAAAATAAGGAAGAGAGAAGTGAGAGTGATAGAGGAGGAATACAGGAGTGAGTGAGACTGGAAGGACGCAGAAGGAGATGAGATGGGAATAAACTGACACTGATAACCAACCAGCCTGGCCCTGGTTTCCTCCTTTGTCAGCCCACTGCCATCATCCATTTGGGGTGGGGGAAGCTGTCGAGACCACCAAAAGTGGGCTGCCATTGCTTTAAATTCTTATTTTGAATACCCATAGCCCTTTTGGAAAACAATATGGGCATTCCTTAAAAAACTAGAAATTGAGCTTCCATATGACCCTGCAATACCACTTTTGGGAATATACTTTGAGGATGCATAAAAGGGACAACAGAAACAACTTCTATACCTCTATGTTCATTGCAGCACTGTTCTCAATAGCCAGAATCTGGAAACAATCCAAATGCCCAAAAACAAATGACTTATTAAAGAAACTTTGGCACATCTACACAATGGAATACTACACAGCTGTTAGAAAAGATGAAGTCATGAAATTTGCTTATAAGTGGATGTTTATGGAGAGTATCATGCTAAAGTGAAATGAGTCAGAAAAAGAAAGGCAGATATAGAATGACTACTTAGGATTTTGCCACTAGTAGAACTGTACAAGAAAGAAACCTCCAGTCCCATCAAAAAATGGGGGAAAGAAATGAACAGCAGCTTTCTCAAAAAAGAAATACAAATGGCCAAAAAGCACATGAAGAAAAAATGCTCTACAATGCTAATCATAAGGGAGATGCAAATGAAAACAACAATGAGATATTATATCACACCACAGAGACTGGTACACATCAAAAAGAACAAGAACAACCAGTGCTGGTGTGGATGTGGGGAGAAATTTGTGGAATATAAAATGTCATAATATGAGACTATTACCAAGGATAGTAGAGTCAAGGCCAGGAAGATTGCTCCACAGTTGGAAGCTTGCCTTATAGCTGGGGGAGAAGGCAGCTGAGATAGACAAGGGATTACTAAGTCAATGACGGTTGGAGGGATCACTCAGGATGGGAGATGTGTGCTGAAAGTAGATAAAGCACCAAACATGATGGTATTACCTGTATTGCATATAATAATACCCGTAAGTAGGGAGAAAGTAAGAGGAAAATTGTCTGCCATAGAGGCAGGTGGAGGGATGGGATGTGGTGGTGGGGAGGGAGAATAGGACCATTGATGGTGGAAAATGTACTGGTGGAGGGATGGGTGTTCAATCATTTTATGCCTGAAACTCAAACATGAAAACTTTATAAGTGTAGCTCACGGCAATTCAAAAAAAAAGAAAAGAAAAGAAAAACAAACCTAGGATCTTGCACATGAAAAGCAAGTGGTTTATCACTGAGCCTTATCCTAGCTCTTCTCCCAAATACTTTTTAAGAGATGTTCATTTCTCAATAGCAGAGCTTGCTTGTCTGGAGCCTATTAGTATGGCTCCTATATAGGAAAATTTGCTTGTATTGACTTTGGTTCTTTTCCATCTCTTCCTCATCTCATCTTTTCTGGTCACTTCTTTTTGTGATTTTTGCATGTACAGTTTCCTATACCTAATACCTACCATGGTGCTTTTAAACTAAGGAGAAGCCAAAGAGTCATGTTGAAAATATCTAACGTTGTGGATGCATTCAGTCTTTCTCCTCTGATATCCCTCAGGCCCTGTGACTGTACTATTTTGGCATTGAAAATCCAAAGTCCATGTTTGTCTGATTATGGAAACTACCTTCAGGAACATTAAAAACATCTCTCTAACCCAGTCCACTAGCCACCCTGTTGTCATGACACATTGTGTTGGCATGACATATTGTTGTTGTTCTAAACAAAACAACTAAAAGGAATGATCATTACTCCCTCTTAGTAGGAAAAAATTTCACATTTTTTTAACTCACCCTACTGTGGAATTTGTCATTTGAATCTAGGACATTCATTAAACAACAGAAACTATGTTTGATCAGCACTGCTTAGCTTAAAAAGTAAAATCAACAGGAAACTGGGACAGAATAATGTGATAAATTGGTTAAAACATATTAATAAGAATTAATATAGTATTCTCTAGTGATTTGAGGATTATGGATGAAAGATTATGGAAATAATTTAAAGGGTCCTGTAATTTGTCCTTAATTGACTAAAATTACTGAATATAATTTGTCTTGATGCAACATAATAAAAAAGTGTTGTAGATCATTTGGGCATATGATTGTAAAAAAAACCAATATAATTCTTCTTTAGATGTTACAAAGAATATGTGGATTTGTAAAACAATTTGATCAGCCACTAAAATTACTGCTTCCAGACAAAACAGAGAAACTTGGATAAATAATCATAATAAGAGGACTGAATTTTCCAATAGATAGACAATCTTTTTTTTTCCCTTTATTTTATTTATTTATTTTTTTACAGTTGTAGGTTTACATTTTTTTGTGCTTTGGTTTCAATTATACAATGATCAGATACCCATCCCTCCACCAGTGCCCATTTTCCACCACCATGGATAATATCCCTCCCACTCCCATCCCCCCATCCCCCCTGTCTCTGTGGCAGGGCAATCCCCTGTGTTCTCTCTCTCCTTTTGGGTGTTGTGGTCTGCAAAAGAGGCATTGAGTGGCAAACATGTTCAGTCCATAGTCTACTTTCGACATGCATCTCCCCTCCTGGGAGGATCCTCCAAACATCCTTTATTTGGTGCTCCCTTCTCTAGATAGACAATCTTTATATGTTGGCCTAACACCGTGGGTCAATTAGGAAGGGTTTATTGTATAAAATACTT